CCAGCCTGGTCTCCAAAGCGAGTTCCAGGAAAGGCGCAAAGCTACACAGAGAAACCCTGTCTCAAAAAAAACCAAAAAAAAAAAAAAAAAAAAAAGTATTCATCTGCAAGAGACTAGAAATAGTTGTGATTTGAGTCACGTATGGTGGCACATACCTCTAATACCAGCACTCAGGAGGCAGGGACAAGCGGAATGGTATGCTGGCATACCACTCTGGGGGCTCCCTGCCATCTGTGTTATGGGAATCACAGCTGTGAGTGACTAAATGGAGAAGACACGTAATAGTAATAACTACTCCAGGCCACAACCCAGAACCCAGTTCTAGGCCATCCTGATCTGCAAAGCGAGTGCCAGGACAGCCATCCATGGCTGTTGTTACACAGAGAAACCTTGTCTGGGAGTGGGGAGTGGCTGAGGGTAATTTGAGAAGTTTAAGAACCAGTGTCTACAACCAGGTGGTGATGGTGCATACCTTTAACCCCAGCACTAGGGAAGCAGAGGCAGGTAGATCTGAGTTCAAGTCCAGCCTGGTCTACAGAGTGAGTGCCAGGGCTACATAGACACCCTGTCTTGAATGAATGAAAAGAAAACCAGTGTCTGGATGAGCAAATAACGGCTGATCCTAGGATCCACATGGTGGAAGGGAAAGACTGAGTTGCCATCCTTCGTGTATATGTGTACATGTTCACGCATTCCCATTACATGTTCACACAAAATAAAATATAATTATTTTATTTGTTTAGGTTTTTTTAAAACAAGCCTTCTTAGCCCAGGGTGCTCTCAAACTCAGTTTAATTCTGTCCCAGCCTCCTCAGTGCTAGGATTACAGGCCTATGCCAAGCAGGTGGTATACAGGCATATATGCAGGCAATACACCCATACACATAAAAATAATAAAACAATGAGAAACTAAAAGGCAACGCAGAAAGTCTACCACTCGAACCCTTCATTGCCTGAGAACAGAAAGGGGAAGACAGCCACAAACTCAAGAGTGTGGCGCTCCAGTCATTGGCATCCTAACCCTGTGTGGAGGGATTGTTCTTATTGGCTAGCTTTGCGCCAGAAATCCATTGATGCTGCTCGCCATGTATTGTAACCAGGAGTTGTGGATAAGGCAGAGTTCCTCCTGGGAACTGATCTGCTTTGGGAATCAGGAAAGTACGGGGACAGTCCTGTCTCGTACAAGCTCTGATCACACAATAGCGTGTTATTCCGTCCCACATTCCTGCACACCACCAGCTTTGTAAGGGGACGCTGAGGATTTGAGCTCGGGTTCTCGCGTTTGTGCAGCAAGCACCGCCTGAGCCATCTCCCCAGCCCGTTCTTCCTTCTCAAGTCTGAGCACCGTTATGCAGAGGGACCAATAGCTAGGAAAGACCGCGGCAGTAACAATGCAGCAAGGCTGCAACTAGTAATAGAAGTAAGCCGACATTTTCTAAGAAGTTGACTGCCAGAAACCATCAAGAGGCAAAGACGACAACTAGGGGTACTCGGCTCTAAAGTAGGGCAGCTGGGTTACACCTTCCCCCCACCCCAACGCTCAGGGATGATCACAGAAAAGGGGGCCAAAAGGTTCTAAAGAGCTGGAAGGATGTCTGCAACAAGACGATTTGCTGGATGTGACAGGCAGTTGCACATATGACTGACGTACATCAACAGATCTGAGTGGAGGAGGGGCTTAGGACGGCCGTCCTTCCCTTACCTGGGGAACTGTTGGGCTAATGGTGGCTGCTGAAGGAGAGGGAGGGGCTGTTTTCAGGAATACAGATCCAAGCTCCAGTAGGCGGGACCTCACACCTGTGCACATCTGCTCAAACACTAGATGGACTCTGGGTATTGGTTTATGACACTGAGAAGAAAGAATGGGAATGGGGAGTCACTGGAGGATGGAGGAATAGTGGGATGGATTGGGACCAAACATATGAATATTAATTTTTAAAATACCAATCATAGCCTCAAATCCACCACCAGTTAAATCAATACTATATGTCACCCATCTCCTTATACACCGGGCCAGATAAATCCCATGTTAGAGATTAAATCCCTCTTCAGATCAGGGCAGGAGAGCTCAAGAATTAAACTTAAAGCCCATGACTGGCAAGTGGAGTCCTTTCTGACACCCCTATTTTCAGAAACTCACCCTAAATGTGCTATGTCCCTGGCATCTGGGAGAAAGCCACTGACGTGCCCACTGAGATGCAGGATGAGTAGCTATCTCTGGTTCTTGCAGTCTCAGCTCATGCTGAGGCTCTAAGGGAACCCCCATTTCCTCTTCATCCTAGCCAATTCACAGACTTACCAGAAGCTTGCCTTCCAAGAAGGCCAACAGAAATCAGTACCTGTAGTTAAGGATGCTTGTGAGCCACCATGTGGGTACTGAGAATTGAACCTAGGGCCTCTAGAAGGTCAGCCAGTGCTAACTGCTGAGCCATCTCTCCAGGTACTCCCATCCACCCCACCCCCACACGTATACATCTGTATTTTAAACCGACCTGGGTAGGGTCAGGTGGAATCTGGATGAAGCTGTAATGGAAAGGCTCATAGTGTTTCGTAGTGACAGCTTCAATACACATACTTGTTCACGGTGCTCTCTCTGTTGATGAAGAAGAATGTTTCTATTCTGACCACTGAACAAAAGACTGAATCCGGGTAGAAGTGACCTGCCTGCAGGTTAATGGATTTTCATGTAAAAAGGCTAACAGGTTCCAATGGAAGTGAATATAGTCTATTTGTTATTTATAGACAGGGATTAAAAAACTAATCCAATGGGAGTTTGTGCTGTCCATTGAGAGTAAGATGGACCCGTCTACGTGCGAAGAATTGTGAATGAGCAAAGATCCATGGCTCAGTGGACAGGAAGGGCACAGGGGAGACCACCCGTCTGGATAATCAGACATTCACATTTCCCACTGTTTTGCCCCATTGTATCCAAATGTGAGAAGCTGCTCTCGAGTCCTCCTGTACAAAGCTCTTTATTGGACTTTACTGAGGCATGATCCCAGCTGCTTCGCTCCAACTGCCAGCCACTGAAGGGGTTTGGCTTGATGGTGTCTGGCAGCTTTGCCCCCAAGGAGATTTATGATCTGTGAAAGATAGTCAAATTAACACCCTGGGCATTCCTGATAGGATTAGAGGCCCGCATTTGCATGCTGCTCTGACATACTACATGATGTTTTCCCAGCCTTGCTGGGTGAGGTTTGGGGAGGTAATTAGAAGGAGCTGGCCACACAGCCCTCTCCCAGCTGGCCAGGCGAAGGGTCACTATGCATTTCCAGGTGGGCTATTTGGGATTTAACACTTTGCATTGCCACACCATTTGTGGAGGATTGAGGACAGCCTCAGGTTTTGGTTCTTACCTTGTTAGAGATAGCGCCTCTGCTGTTTCTCTGCTTCATAAACCAGACTAGCTAGCCCTTCAGCTTCCAGTCACTCTATTGTCTTCGCCTCACTCTGTGCCTCCAGCTTTTATATAGGTTCTAGAAATTCAAACTCAGATCCTCATGTGTATGTGGAGAATGCTTTTATCCATTAAACCATCTCTGGAGCCTGTTACCATCTTTTTGCCTTGTGAGGCAGGACCACTAACGGAAGAATCCTATCAACATAATTGAGCCCCATGAAATAAAAGGAACACTAGTGTACAGCAAGAATGTGTGTGTACATGTACGCGCACACACACACACACACACACACAAAATTTCATGAACCCTCTAAAAGAGAAAACGGAACCCAGTGTGTTTTTTCAAGTGGTAAAATGCCTTCCAGATTCTCCCGGGCTCTGTCTACAGGGTGGAACCATCCTCTGCAAACACAAGCCCCAATCACTTAGTTGCATATCATTGTATTACTACTACTGGATATTTTTTAAGTACGTACTTGCTTTTTATTTCAGGGTTAGATTGTTTCTGGTATGCAATCTATTTCAATATACTTGAACTATGCACCTAATTGGGATTCAGAAATGAATTAATTTTTCTGATTTAATTGAAGACTATGACCCAGGAATGAATCATTTTTTATCATCTTATCCAATAGAAAGTTGTCTGATACCCACTGTAGAAAGGAGTTCTCAAGGCTGGCTGCCATTCAAATCAGTACCTCTAATCCCTCCCCTAAGGGTCTGGAGAGCTGAGGCAAGAAGACTACACTGTCTTCAGAGCCTGAGCTGCAGTATGAGACCCTCCCTTCCTCC